TTCCATAGAGTAGAAAACCACATTAGAAATATGCTGGGTCCGACGTTCACGCAGGTCGCTCCGCAGTGAAGCTTCGCACGCTCCAAGGGAAGCCTCCTCACTGAGCATTCCGTGATGAACGGGACATAAATCATGGGGGGGGGGGGGGGTGTAATGGAATGTAATTAGCAAATTAATCCATTGCAGGGGCTGCTCGCGGGGTCAGCACCGGGAGCTGCAGCGGGATGGAGGCCGATGGGCCGGTGCTTCGGAAGTAGTAACCACACACACGTGTGCTCCTGTGCCCGTGTGATGCAATGCAGCGTGCAGCAGCCAAGGACCCATCGGGGCGGGGGGGAGTGCGACCAAAGACACCCCAGATAAAAGGGATGGGCTGAGGGAGGGGAGCCGGGTGCTGCTGCCGCAGGGCGCGCTCTGTGTGGCTGAGCTCGAAGGCTGCACCTCAACGACCCTTTGTGTGTCTCTCTCAGCTGGCCCATCCTTATGGACAGTGAAGGAAGCACCAAGCCTTTAAGAGGAGCACAGCTCTGCACTGACTTTCTGTAGAAGAGGAGGTTAAAATCCTCTTCCCTTGCTCTGACGCTGTTCCCGGGCAACCACAAGCCCCATGGTGGGATCCAGCCCAACAAACGTGTTCGTGTTCCCCATCGAGCCTATGGCTGGTGGCAGCTTGTCCAGTGTGTCTGATGCCCAGCACGTCCCATGTCCCCCCAGTCCCACCCCCCAGGAAGGGGCTGCTGATGGCCCCGGCACAGGCACAGACCCCCCCCGTTCATGCGAGGCTGCCGTGAGCACGAGTTTATTGGGGTGTGAGGGAACCAGGTCAGTACAAAACCACAGCTGAACTTTACAAATTAACAGGTTTTGACATCAGGAAAATACTATTTTATTTCCATCAGTGTTTCAGTTCTTCCCTGAATTAGCGATGGGTATTGCTCAGTGAGAGAAGTCTCCTGCTCAGGAGACCTTTGAAGTGATTTCAGACCATGTACTGGGTAACTCGGAGCGAGCCAGCCCTGAAAACAGCACAGTTAAACGCTAGGGTTTATTTTCTGCTGTTCGTTACCGACACACGATCAGTGGAACCCAGGCTGGGAGGCAGCAACGGCAATCGGGCAGACCCTGAGTTTCTGTTGGGTTTGTTTCATCTTTACAACACCAGGTTCTAGCTCTGAGGCGTCGGCACCCCTGGAACCCCACGAGCCTGAAGTGCAGCTCCTGTTGGAAACACAGTGCCAGGAGTGCCACAAAGTGCCGGGAGGACTCTGCCCACCCAACACCTGCAGACCCACTTGTTCTAAGCAGGGAGGCCGCGGGGTGCAGAGCATGGCCCGGCTGTCGTGACTGGGGGTGGTCACCCAGGAGGGCATTGCTGTGAGTCATGGCCTTTGCTCTTCAAAGGGAATTGGGTTGTGTCTGTTCCTCTGGTTCCAGCCACCATCGCAGGCAATGGTGGCGCAGCTGAGGAGTCGCTGCTGTCCACAGTGGGAGCCCCATAGCTCAGAGGCTGCACCCAGCGGGGCAGCAGCGCTGGAGGGTGCCCAGGACGCTGCCACCACAGTGACCAGACAGCACCCATGGGAGATGGGCACCAAGGACAGGAGCTGCTGCTCCACTGCACTGCACCGGCACGATGGGCTGGGACGGCTGCACACACAAGGTACTGACACGTGTGACCCTGCACAAGATGCCGCAATTGAACTGGTGTTAATGGAGGTGCTGCCACTGTGTGAGGCTGGCGGCACCCTCCTGGCTCTCTGGTAAATGACCTCTGTGATGATGGTTACTAATTCCCAGCTACAGGCCCAGAACTGGTGCTGGATGAGCAGACAAGTGGGGGAGCAGAGGAGGAACACGGGCTGGGCAGCATCCCCATCCTTCACCTGCTATCCAGGGGGGAGGGGGGCGGTTGTTGGGTGGCCGCACATGTGAAAACCCCTCTGGGGACAGTTCCCTGACACAGGACCTGGTGCTGGCCGGGATGACCAACACAACGCTCCAAAGCTACGTTAAGTAACAGGTATCAGTGCTGGTTCATGTCCTCTGGCTGCGACGCCAGCTCTTGTGCACTGGTGCTGGGGAGATGTGCTGCTGTGGGGCTGATGCTGCGCCAGTGGTGGGAGCACCCGGCCACCTTCCTCTGCTCTGCCATGGAGGCGGTGGAGCAGAACACGGTGGTGATGGAGGCGACGTCCGGTCACGGGCAGCGTCTGCTGACACCGGAGCTGCGGGGCTGGAGCCCTCGCGTCCCCCCCCGCGAACCCGCACGCCCGAGGAGCGGGAGCTCACGCGTCCGTGTGCAGGTCCCGGAGCCCCGCGGCGCCGCAGCCGGGGGCCCTGCCGAGCGCGCTGGCCGAGCGCCGCAGCCGCCCGGGGACCCGCAGCGAGGGCGAGCGCAGCGCAGCCACCCCCAGGGACACCTCGAGGTCGGCGCTGGCGCTGGTGCTGAGGCAGCCTGGAACAGAGGAGAGCAGAGAGCACGGTGAGGGGAGGCAGAGAACCGCTGCAGAGGCAGCACCTCCCCAGCCCTCCGAAGCAGCCCTGGGGAGAGCCGGGCAGTTGTTAACAGAGGCTGGGCTGGGCCAGCCTGGAGAAGGCTCCTGAAGGGGAGACCTGAGAGCAGCTCCAGTGCCTGAAGGGGCTGCAGGAAAGCTGGAGAGGGGCTTGGGACAAGGGATGGAGGGACAGGCCAAGGGGAATGGCTTGAACCTGCCCGAGGGGAGACTGAGCTGAGCTCTTAGGCAGAAGCTCTTCCCTGTGAGGGTGCTGAGGCGCTGGCACAGGGTGCCCAGAGAAGCTGTGGCTGCCCCATCCCTGGCAGTGTTCAAGGCCAGGTTGGACCCAGGGGCTTGGAGCAAGCTGCTCCAGTGGAAGGGGTCCCTGCCCGTGGCAGGGGCTGGAGCTGGAGGAGCTTTGAGGTCCTTTCCAACCCAAACCATTCTGGGGTTCTGTGATTCTATGGAGTATGACCCAGGCAGCTGAGGACACTTTCCAGCTTTCCTGGAGAAATGAGGAATTTCCCTTTCTCAGCTTTCAGAAGCAGGGCTCATGCACCACCCCCACCCCCACTCCCAACCCCCCCAGCAGTGTCCCCCCTCAGTCCTGCTGTCCCGGTTGGTGCAGCCCCTGTACTGGTGGCTCCGGCAGCTGCCGCAACATTGCCGCCTTGGGGAGCAGGAGCATCCATCCTGTCCACTCACAGCTCCCACCCAACAGCTCCAAACCCGCTTCTTTCAAGCATGTGCTGTAAAAAACTATTGTCTGCTGTGTCTCTAAATGCTCTCCTGTATTTGATCTACTGCAGGGAGCTGGAAATGAGTCTCCATAGTGTGAATGCTCTATGGGACCCTGCCCAGGAGGCATCTTGGCCCCTGATAAAAATCCCAAAGAATCCCAATCTTTTCTGATTAGTTCCACTTCTCGCACAGGACCCATCACATCAGTGACCTGCACCCCCCGTGCGGGACCGTTACGTGTGGGCTGGGATGGCTGCAGCCGCAGCTGCGGCACTTCACGGTTCTGCACCACCAGGTTTCATTGCGATGACTCCCCCCCAGGCGCTGACGAGCAGCGGCCAGGGCTGAACAGGTCGTAATTAGGGTGGGGGCCGCAGCTCTTGGAGCGCGGAGTGAAGAACAATGGGTGTGAGAGGGGAGCGGGAGCCGCAGCCCGGCCCCTCCTGCGCTGCCTTTGCTCCACGGGCTCCGTGTTCTTACACCCGGCACAGAGCTCTCGGAGGTGGCCGCGCACGGGGTGCGCTCCGCTCGCTCTGCCAGGGCCGCCCCGCAGTCCTTGTGCTTTGGCTGGAGACCCTCAGGCCTGGGTGAGCCGGGCACTGCTGGGGCTGCAGCCAACCCGGGCACCGCTGACAGGCCCCGCCATCCACAGACCGGCGTTTGCACGTCCAAGGCAATCTGTACTCACCGCTTTGTCCCGCCGGACACGGGACTGAGGGGAAACAGCGCATTAAAGGAAGGTGAAAGCCCTGACTTTGCGGGACAGGCATTTCTGTGACAAGTGCGGAGCTGCCGGGCTGGGGCTGAACCAGAGCTGGGTGCTGCTGACTGCAGGGGGAGGGAAGGGCTGCGAGGGAGGTGTCGCGCTCCACATTCCTGCGGTGCGGCAGCGCGGCAGATGGTCAAAATAATACAGTTTTCACCCAACAGACGAGCTCGAGCAATATTCATGCAAGTGCAGAACAAAGCAGGGCCCGCGGCCGAGGGCAGGCGGCTGCGGGAGCGGGAGCGGGGAGCGGGGAATGGGAAGCAGGGAGTGAGGACCGGGGAGCAGGGAGCCGGGAGCGGGGAGCAGGGCTCACACCTCACTCTGCTCCGCAGCACCAAGCCGCACATTCCTGCAGTGCCGGCTCTCCTGGCGAGCCCCGAGCTGTGCCACCAGCCTGGAGCTCCCCAAACCGCCGTGATTGATGGGGCGGCAGCAGCTGCGGAGTGAGCCCGGCCACAAAGGAGGCAGCCCCACACAAATATTGTAATTCCACTTGCAAGCTGTCTGGCACGGGCCATAATTACTTGGCGTCTTGCAAGGGCGCTGCAGCTCCGTGCGGGGCCGGGCTCAGCCGTGCGGGGCGAGGGGACTGCCGAGAGCCGGCGTCGCCGGTGCCGCTGCGGAAGGTGCTCCCGGGAGGCTCAGCTCCCTTCTGCAGCGACACAGGGGCGCGTTCCCTCTCCTGCTGTGTTTGCTTCAGAGGGGCACACACGGGGTGAAATCAGACGCCGTCAGAACCAGGCAGCAGCGTGGCAAACACAGAATTCGCTCCCGACTCACGGGGGTCAGTGCCTGACGTGTACAACTCGGCAGAAGAATTTGCACAAAGGGGGAGCCCAGCGGCAGCATTCCCTGTTTCCTGGTGAGCCCCGCCACAGGTGCTGCCCTGCAGCCCATTCCCGGCGGCTGCCCCATCCCGGATCCCATCCCGTGGTGCCCTGGCCACAAACACGCACAAAAGGGCCCAGCCGAGGGAGCAGCAGGCGCTGGGATGGGCGCTGGGCACCGCGGGGTGCAAGGAGTAAAAGGAGATGGGGCTGAGGTGACAGGGACAGGCAGAGACAGACCCGAGAGCCCCAGAGCCGCCATGCACTGAGCACTGAGCGCAGGAGGAGCAGGGCTGTTAGTGGTGGAGCACACGGGCGGCAGCAGGGGAAGCATCGCTCTTACCTGCGGCAATTACCGTAACGAGACCGGTACTTATTCTAATCTGAAGGGAGAGAACACAACAGGCGTCAGAGCAGCAGCAGCCGAAACCGGCCACGGCATCACGGCAGCGGCACCCGGTGAGTGGCACCAGCGTAAGGACAAGTCGGGACCCAAAGTTCAGCCCGGTATCCCCAGGGACCAGAGAGAAACGGGTGCCCCCGGGCCTCGTCCTGCCCCAGCTGTTCTGTGGGTTGAAAACCCCGGGAGGGAAACGCTGGGACACGACGTGACCTCCAGCTCCTGCTGCTCTTGCCGATGTGGTGCGGGAGGATGTCCGGCACCTGCTTCAGTGACACCTCCAAAGATCAAATTGGGTTAAGATTTGAGGCTTCACAGATCCCCTCCCTCCCACGCGCGGCAGGCTGGGCAGCACAGAGGTGCACAGTGACAATCCCTGGGCACAAACCCTTCCCACCCATGGGGGAACTCGCACACGCAAAACCCTTCAACAGGCAGCCCTATGCCCATCCGTGAGCACTCTGCACCTGAGCGCCCATCAGAGGCCTCCATGGTCTCTTACAGGTAGAAATGCTTTATGCAGGTGAAGGATTAAGCTGTTAAAGTATGTTCCTTGCATCAGGGGATTAAGAATTCAGTTGATACAGATACAAATACACTTTAAATGCAGAGTCATCTTCTGGAGAGCTTTTAGCATCTTACATCTACTGACCAGAACAAGGCTGGTTTCAGCACCAGGGCACGTGCTCTAGGACAGAAGGGTCTTTGAGCCGTTTCTCTTCAACTTGTGAAGCAGAGAAACCCTTCTGAAAGCAAAACAACTCCTCTAGACCGCCCTCCACCACACACACATACACCCTGCACCACGCACACATACACCCTGCGCCATACACACATACACCCTGCACCACACACCCATACACCCTGCACCACACACCCATACACCCTGCACCACACACCCATACACCCTGCACCACACACACATACACCCTGCACCACACACACATACACCCTGCACCACACACAAGACACAGTAGTGTTGTTACTTATGATGGACAAACAACTGGAATTCTATGGAGAGCAGAGCCCGGAGCCCCAGCTCTGCGCTGCCAGCTCCAGCTCCAGCTCCAGACCAAAGCCAGCCGAGCCCTGGCCAGGACAGCACACGCGGCCGACCGGTGCTGAGGCATCTCCCCCAGCAGCCCCTGGGTGCAGTAATGTTGGAGGGCTCCTCTCCCCCCAGCTAACAGCCCAAAGGCTGCAGCATTTCAGTGGCTGAAGGTCAGGGTTCCTTGTGTTCAGCAGCAGCATCTCATGAGCTTCTATTGTATGGAAGACCAGAAAGGCGGTCCTTAGCGTGCAGCCCAGGCAGGTACAAACGGATCACGACACGGTGCATGGTCGTTAGGGATTCCAAATGTCCATACTTGAGAAGGCCCATGGAGTTTTCACAGTGGCCATGACCTGTCCCCTCATCAACCCCTCCGCTATGACACGTCTGTGGCGTCTTTGTTTTCCTTCCCAGTAAATGGGAAGGGAAGAAAATTCCAGAGGGAATCATAGCAGCAGTTAATTGATCCACCCAGCCCCGTGATGTGCTCTGTCCTCCCCTCACAAGGAGAGGCTGAAAGCACATGAGCAGCACCCTGAGCCTGCCTGTCCTGGGGGGGGGTGCATTTGCAGGAAACCACAGAATCAGAATCCCAGCCTGGTTTGGGTTGGAAGGGACCTCAAAGCTCCTCCAGCTCCAACCCCTGCCACGGGCAGGGACCCCTTCCACTAGAGCAGCTTGCTCCAAGCCCCTGTGTCCAACCTGGCCTTGAGCACTGCCAGGGATGGGGCAGCCACAGCTTCTCTGGGCACCCTGTGCCAGCGCCTCAGCACCCTCACAGGGAAGAGCTTCTGCCTAAGAGCTCAGCTCAGTCTCCCCTCTGGCAGGCTCAAGCCATTCCCCTTGGCCTGTCCCTCCAGGCCCTTGTCCCAAGCCCCTCTCCAGCTTTCCTGCAGCTCCTTCAGGCACTGGAGCTGCTCTGACTTGACCCTGGCCAAAGCCTCCTTCTGGCACTGCAGTCTGCAGCAGCAACACTGTACCAGCCTGGCACTGGCACTTGCACTGCCACTGTACCAGCACTACACTGGCACTGCACTGGCACTGCACCAGCACGTCACTAGCACCACACCAGCACTACACCAACACTGCACTGACGTGGCACTGGCAATAGGCCGGCACTGCATTGGCACTGCACCAGCACTACACTGGTACTGCACCAGCACTGCACTGGCATGTCACTGGCACTGCTCCTGCACTCCACTGGCACTGCACCAGAGCACCAGAGCTCTCCTCTGTGGCTGCAGGGCTGACGTGCATCTGCGGCCACCGCAGCACAGGGCCCGTCAGGTCACATCAGTATTTCCCCATCCCGTGCTTACGGCCGGCAGGAATCCTGCCCTGGCCATGGGCTCTGCCGTGGGTCATGGCTGCAGAGCTGCTCGGAGCCGGTCACTGGACCGGGAAGCAGCAGGAGCACAGGCTGGGCCTGGGGCTGCGCTCATCCCACTGCAGACCCCGAGGGAGCAGCAGCCCCAGCGCTGTGCCGTGCTCTGTGTCCTCACAGGAGGCGGGCAGAGGGGAGATCCCGCAGCAGGGAGTGCAGAGGAACAGCAGCTTCCTGACCGTCCTGCACGGGGTCACCACCTGAACCAGGCCTGGTCCTCCCGCAGTGCCCTGCTTCAGCCTTCAATCACTGGGGCTTGGGGGTAGAGCTGATGCCACTCCGTGACTCCTGTTATTCACCGTGACTTTGCCCTGGTCAGTAACAGACCAGTTCCAACCCCTACAGGGACAATCAGAGTTTGACTGACTGAGAAGGTATTTCTCTTTCATGTAAAAATATAAACTATCACACTGTCAACATGCACAACTGAACCCAAAGGGTCTGAGGGCAGATCCCACGGAGCACTGAGGATGAAGGAGCTCCTTTTGTTCCCTCATTCAGTGCTTGAACCCTTCAGACTGCTAAATGCACGACCGACTGACGAATTAGGGAAGACTCCACAGCCTGGGAAAGGGCTTCACTTGCTGCCTGAGTCCAAAAGAGGAAGAACTTTTGGCTTCCGGTGTTGTCCCTGCGGCTGTAACAAGTGCTCCTGCAGCAGGAGGGTGCGCTTCCACCTGGGCACCGCTTCATCGTGCAGCTAAACTGTGACTCTGTTGGCAGCATCCGTGTGTCAACATAAGGATTCATCCTCGTGCTTTCTCAGTTTCTCAGTTCTCTGCTCCACCTCCCCCAGCTTCTCCTCTTTGTTTAGGGCCTGGACAACCTCTGCAGTCATCTGGCACCTGCACTGCACATGCCCCTCCTCACTCGGACCTGGAAACGAGCTCGTGCTGATGGTTGGACTCCTTGTGCTCCCCCCATGCTCCAGGGCAGCGCCTGTACTGGGAAAGGCCAGATTCAGCTTTGAGGTCCAAGCCCGTGTCCAAGCACTGTGTGCAGCTCCACAGCAGCATCCCAGCCATGACGACTGTGGGGCAGGGTCAGCACGGCCTCTCCTGCCAGCAGCATCTGGGATTCCCCATGTCCCAGTCACCAGAAACTCGTCTTTCCATTCCGGGCCGCACAGTCACGTTGATCCAGCCCTCCCTCGGGTGTGCTGTGCATGCTCCAGCACCACGGCACCGTGGCTCATTTCAGACCTGTGGGTTTTAATGTTCAGCCCCTTCCGGTTTCCTTAAAAATACACTGAAATATTACACAGAACCTGGAGAGACTTTTACTGTCGCACCCAGACCTGGCCAAACACCTACAGCTTTGCAAGGAAATGCACAAAGTAAAACAAACCCCAGAAAAACCAAGCTAACCCAAGGAGACGCATTGCTGTATCAGCATTAGAAAGAACACAAGTCTGTTTAAGACAACAGGGTTGGTGTTTCTTCCGTCAAAGAGCAGACTTTAAAATGACATGGCCATTTGAAATACTCCTTTTTTCTCTGAAGTGGGAAAGATGCAGCTGGGCATCCAGCAAAAAGTGCCTTAAAAGAAAGCCCATCTCGCTTGTGGGACACTCAAGGATTTTCTACAAGGAATGTAAGTGTGTGGAAGTCCCGAGACAAAGGCAGAGCGTGTGTCACCTTTCCAAGAGAAAGGCTGCAGCCTCCCGGGCTTATGTAAATCAGAGGCAGGCGTCAAACCAAGAACGCTGGAAGCCTCCACAGTTCCTCAACTCAAGTGTTGCTCCTGGGCAATGCTCTAACATTCATTAAAGAATCCATTTATCAACAGATAGCACATGGCAGACTTTTCCAGCACAGTTTTCCTGACGCTCCACTGAAAACGGTGCTTTAAACCACGGAAATGGAAAGCAAGACCCTGGGATGCTTCTGCTGTGCTTCATTCCACAATAGCTGTTAGCCAAGATGCACACTCTATCCCTCCTGATAACGTCGAGCATTATGCTTTATTTTCCAAATCATTAGCATGCACAAGGATGACCTCATGGTGAACAGATGCACTTGGATATGGCAGTGATTAGATCAGTCCTCTCAGCAGTCAAGTGTGCCCGCTCCAGTTAACCCTTTGAGCACCAACTGCAAGTCCACGCTGCTGACAAGCAGAGCTGGGGGCTGTCTCCAGAGCAGAAATCTGCCCCTGTGAGCCTAAAGCCCTCTTTCTCTTCCTGGCACACCTGACCGCTTCCATTTCCTAAGGGCTAACACCATTCTGGCTGCTGATCTCAAGTGAAAAAGAAAACCCCAAACAACAAACCAACAAGCGCTCTTTAGTCCTAGAGGTAATTAAAGTTGGAATGCTTTTGTATCTGTTTGTGCCTGTTTCAGTTTGATGGCGTTTCTTCAGGAACACACAAGCATTTTGGTGAATAACTGCTTTTCTTTTCAGCTGAGGGAGCAAGAGCAGGAAAAGATAGCAGCTTAAACCCCATCCCCGAACCCGAGAGAAATCTGCAGAGGGAAAGGATAAGAGCAATTCACGAGTGTTGGATTACTGAGGATTTCCTGGGCTGACTCTCAGACCCAGCCTAATTAAAATACAGCATGTAATGTACCAGTTTAACAACAAAGGCCCGAATTCTCATCTTTTGTTCCTAATCTGCACATCCCCTCAATGAGCTCAGGGATGCCCATTCTGCCTACCAGGAGGCACTTCCAGCCTTTGAGATACATGGAGCTCTCTGTGCTACGTGAGGGGAGTTTCAGGCTCTGCTTCTGAAAACAGCGAGAGAGGGTCTCAACTGGATGATTTTCGTGCACCTGCGAGGCCATGTGTGGAAGGGGACAGCCAGGGCATCCTTGTAAGAAAGCCCCATCCCAGCTGAGTCCAGGGGCAGCATCCCTGGGGCACCATCAGAAAACATAAAAGCATTCAAAAGTTCAAATAAATAGATGACAGTTAATAACACCCCAGTAATGTGTGTCATTAACAGCCAGATACGTGATTCATTTCACAAATCTGATTTGCTTCTTGTACCGTGTTGACTGCTAAAACCAAACTTGAGTTTAATAAAAAGCTCACTTACTCACTGCCCCTTTCTCTTGCGCACGTGTATACGCAGCGATGACAGGATTCCAATTAACTGGTATTAAGATCAGAGGAAAATTCATCTGAATTTTACCTGTAAAGTTTAAGCTGGGCAGCTCCTTGTTACTGAAGAAGGGGAAACACAGACCTGTGTCAGCTCCACTCATTCACTGCTCTGTGATTCATTTTTTCCATTTCAGAACAGAAATTCCCCTCTCACATGGACAGAAACACCACCCCTGATCCTCAAGCAACAGACAGCCCGTTCTGCAGGCGCAGGGCAGGTGAGTCTAAGCCTGGAGGAGGTCTAAATGCCTGTGGCACAGAGGGACAGGCTGTGTGCTGGAGAACACAGAGCAGTGCTGCTCATGACTGAGACCGTCCTGCTTGCCCCAACTGCGCCCATGCTGACAGCGGCTCCAGAAGAGTTTTACATCCTTCCTATTCCTAATCCCCAGCAGGGATGAAGAGATGCTGCAAACCTGGTCCAGCTGCACTTGAGCTGGTGCGTTCTTTATTTCTGGATGCTGCTGGCAGCACCCCCCCAATCTATGCCACAGCAAAGGTGGGACAATGCTGAGGGATGCTCGGGATCTGTGCATAGCTCCACACAAGGTTGTGGGAGGGGAACTTGCCTCGGCCTGAGCTTTGCAGTTTGCATTCAGCCTCTTTGCTCCTTGGGCAAGTGATGGAAAAAACATCCTAATGGTAACCCCTGACCTGGCTCGCGGGAACATCCCACTACAGATGCAAGTAAATCACTGGGTAAGGTGAGGAAAGTCTCTGAAGTTTGATGACAGAAATCAGGACTAGCCTCCAGTTTTTTGTGACAGAAATTCTGATGTTTGGAAGTCCAAAAACCAGGACCTGACTGTGGCAGGGTTTACTCTTAAAAACAAATAAAATCCTGAAATCACAAACCCACATTCAGGTACTACTGGTTTAACAGTGCTCTGGCAAACTAAAGTACGTATTAGGAAACAAATAGCTTCGGCATGGAAAACGTATCAGAGACTTCAGAAAGTATGACTCTGGCATTACCAAATGACTGTGTCCTTGCTTGTCAACCTGAATTCGCAGCTAATACGATCACTGTGTGCCGCAAGAAGAATGTGAAAGCGAAATGCAATTATGCACAGAGCAAAGCGGTTAAAATACACCCATAGAGCTGCACTTTGATTTGCTGATGCGTCAACAGATAGTGATTCACAGAGCGAACAACACTGGCACGCAGGCTCCACGTCTATTGAAACCCATCATTTTTTTTTGTCTCAGACTTCTGGCAGAGTGTATAAAAGAATTTAATTCACAGCTGTTCTACTTTTTAATGTAGAAAACATTAATCAAAGCTTTAAGTTATAAGCTTTTCTAATGTTGTTTAGTATTCCAGTTCAGCAGAGATCAATAGAGGCCATCGCTGTGTTTCTTGACGCCTCTCCAGGAAGCGGAGGCGCGATTATGTTAATGGCCCAGCTCCCCTCTCCTCCTGCCAGCTTGCTTATCTCCACTGCCTGCTGCCTGCTGCTGCTGGCCACCAGCGCCGGCCCTGCAGCCTTCTCTTATCTCCCAACAAAGCTCCGGGAGCTCCAGGACCGGAGCCAGTAACGTTAAACAATGGTGCACGCCTGATTTTATTTGTAAGTGATTTATTTTGGTAAATTTAATTTCTTCCTTCAATTTTTCAGTTTAGATGGGAGATATTTGCTAACAAGTCAGGCTAAAGAGAAATAGAGCAGATGTCCTGCAACAGTTAGACAGGTTTGAAATAATCTATTAAACAATCCGAAAGAGGAGCAGGGAGTAATGAGAAAGTGCCAGTTTCCCCTCTGAGTGTAAAAAAGGGATTAAGGAATCTTTGTTAGGGAGTCCAGCACACGGGGACCGTGCACTTTTTGGAGGCTGGAGAAACACATCTTGGGGGCACTGGAAATCTGCATTTCAGAGTGAAAGCTGCCTTTCAGGAGGTGTTTATTTAAACCCAATTAACACAGCAAAGCAGCAGTTTGTGTCTTACTGGCTGCTCACTAGCATCCAAGCTCACAGAGCTCAGCATTACATCTCCATCTTTCAGCAAGGCTGATGAGTGCTGATCAGCATTCATGTGCGTGTATGTACATACATATATACACACACATATACACGTATGTGCGTCCTTGCACACATTAACCCAACCCAAGCAGGCTCCAGGCCAGGTGTGGGAAGGCAGCCTGACCATGTATATTGAAGGGATCTGTTAGCATACTGCTGGCTGCTGTGGTTTCCGTGCAGAGCACCGCTCTTACATTTCTTGTGCATTAATCCCTGACCCTGGTATCTCGGCAGCATAATCCCCATTTAGCATTAGTAGCAACGGCTTCTACTGCGAGGAACTCTTTCTCGATAAGTAAGCACCGATTCAGGCATAGCTTTTGAACAACATATTCCCAGCTCAGCAAGAAACCCACCCTCCTGAATGGACCGGAGCACATTACTGAGAGAAAGTTCATTAACCTTGCTAGATTCGGGGGTTAACAGGATAGCTGAAGAAAGGAGCAGAGTGAATAGCTCTGATGCAAAACAAATTAAAATGAATGTCATCATTCCTTTTGATATTCATTAGTTGATTCAGGGGAAGAATGGTCGTCTTAGATTTGCAAGCATTTATCTACAAAAAACAGGTGTACATCTGCTGCTCAAGTGCTTCTTAGTGCGAAAGAGAAGAATAACGTGCAGAGACTCACCAGTTCCACCGAGGGAGTAGCTGGGAGAGGGAGAAAAGACCTGAGCGGCAAAATCCTCAAATGTCATTACTTCTTTATGGTTCTGGATTATTGCTTCGAGATATAGAGCTCGTTCCTCGTAACTGCAACGACCACGTTAAGGAAATGTGTGTAGGGTTAAATGCTGTTACAGAGTCCACCAACACCAGCACTTCACATCAACAGCCACACTAACCAGGCTGTACACAGCCATGGCAAAGAGAGGACCAAACCTGACCGCTGCTGCTTAACAGTTCTCAACACAATGGCTTGAAACTAAGGGTAGAACCTTTTAGCTCCATGAACGCAAAGTGGTGACTCGGTAGATCTGAGGGACTGCTGCAGCTACTGTGGGCAGAAGCAAGCCCCAGGACTGCAGGCTTGTTTACACCAAACCCCACCTTTACAGACAAGCCGCAGCACTACGGAGTTTCCAGTACACAGCATTCCCACCACAGCCACCCTGCCAGGCTAGAAAAAAATACTGGATTGGAGAAGCAAGCTGCAGGACAGAGGGGGAACACCCCCCACCCCCCCCTTATTTCCAACCCCATTTACTTGATCACTGTAGTTCTTAAAAGAAATTAGCTGTAATAAACCCAGCCCCTGAAAGCGTGTGGTTTGTCTGTAGGCAGGTGCTGGAAGGTGCAACCTTCTGTATCCTAAATAAGCCATGCACATTGGAAGAACTCACCCCAGCACTCGCATGCATTATAGTCTGCATAATGCAGGCAACAAAGCGATCTAACATCAAGACTATTGCCTTTTAATTAAAACTCGGCAACCTGGAACACACAGCATTCAAATGTGTAATCAAAAACCAGTCACCAATAAAACTTACAAGCGTAACAAGCTGAAGCAACTTTCCAGCTGTCTTAATAGGACCCCTGCTTGCGGCAGCTTTTCACAGCGGAGAAAGCAAATCTCTCCCTTTGTGTGCAGCTTCTGTTTTCTCAGAAGGTGAATCAGACGCTTCCAATAACAGGATAACGCCTGAAACAAACCTACAAGGGGCTGCAGCACCTCGCATATGACTTTCTGCATTACCGCTCGCAGGAGCCACTCTGACATCTCATTCTCTGTTCCCTCGTGTAAAACAAAAGTTTCAGACCCTCATTATTGTGTCCGTGTGACTGGAAGCGCGTTCTAACGCGGCCAGCGGGAGCAAAGGCCGAGTGAAACGTGGAAATTAGGAGCGGCGAGCATAACACAGCGACAACACGACGCAGGTGAGGGCTTAGGAGTGAAAAGCATTACTAATTCATAGTGAAGCGCCATTTGTGACTTCCACCGCACTAAGAACCCCCTCTGAAACACTGATATAAAAAGCCCCCGCAGTAAAGCAGCGTCCTGGTGCTGCGGAGCAGGGCAGGAGGGCCCGGGCTCTGCCCGGGGCGCACAGGCAGGGCCGCACGCACGCTCCTGCGGGCCGGGCGGTGGCGAAGGGCGAGGAAGGGAGGACGCGGAGCCCCGCTCTGAGGCGAGCACAGGAGGCTCCGGCCGGGAGGAATCGCCCCGGCCGCTTCCCGCCGGAGCCCGCAGACGGATGCGCGCCCGGGTCCCCGGGGCCGGCAGAGCCGGGGCAGGCACCGGGGGCGGGTGAGAGCGGGGCCGCGCTCCGGGGGCTCCGGTAGCGCCGGGCACGGCCGCGGGCGCAGCGGGAGCTGAGAGCGCTCGGCGGGAGCGGCGGCCGCGGCCACCTGAGCCCGCGGCGCTGCCCAAGGAGGCCCCGCACGGGCACTGCGCGGGGCGGCGGCTGCCACAGAGCAGCTCCGCTCCCGGGAGTGGCGACGAGGGCGGCTTCGGACCCGCGGGGAGCCGTGCCACGAGCGGGAGGATGCCCCCGGGCACACAAAGGAGCAGGAGAAACCCAGCCAAAGCGCTGGGCAGCGGCAGCAAACAGCAGGGAGCGGAGCTGAAGCCAGGCTCCGGCGGCTGCGGAGGAAGATCCCATTCCTAGAGCCACAGAACCCCAGACTGGGTTGGGTTGAAGGGACCTTAAAGCTTCTCCAGCTCCAACCCCTGCCACGGGCAGGGACCCCTTCCACTGGAGCAGCTTGCTCCAAGCCCCTGTGTCCAACCTGGGCAGCCCCTTGACCATCACCTTCCTCAGCTGGGCACACCACACCCCTCATGTCTGTCCCAGGCTCCCCAAAGCACAACTGCCAGGAACACCACAGCCTGATCTAGAAAGCTTCAAGTCACTGCAGGAAATGAAACTAAACTCTGCTGTCTCTGTCTGAATACGTACATGGATTAGGGTAAACAGTTTGGATTCATTAAAAAAAAAACAACCCAAACTGAAGTTTTACCAAAGTTTAGGAATTCTAATAGAGGCATTAGGAACATGACAAACGGGCTGTGAAGTACCCTCCCAGCCTGTATGGACAGGTAAAGAAACAGCGTGGCATCACAAGTACCACCTCATCTCTCACACAAAACCTTTGTCACTTGTTTGAGTTGAGCTGCTTGCCTGCAAACAAACCCACTGCTTTGCTGCTCACTTGTGTTCATGTCAGAGTCTTCTGCCACCACCACCTTCATCACCTGCCAGACACCTGGAAGTCCCAGGTGACGTGCTTTGAGGATCTGAGAGAACAAACACGTACCCAGAAAATAAGATGGATGGGGGCGGAGAAGACCTGGCATTTCAACGCTGTTCTCACAGGAGTGGTCCCAGACCATCATTTATCACTTGCAGCCTGAAAAAGCTTCATGTTTATGCCCACATCAGAGCACGTTCCTCCAGTCACTAGGGCGAGATGTGACCTGTCAAACTGCAGCCCTTGTACATCTGCTGTGCCACTGTCCTTAGGAACAGTGGTGGGATTTTACTGACTTACGTGTGTTCAAATGTTAAACTGCATCTTCTTACTGTTCTGTGGGGAAACACATAGAATCAGCTAGCTTGGAAAAGACCTTTAAGACCAAGTCTGTGTGCATCCTCCTTCCAGATGGAGGATCAGAAGAAGACAGAAAGTAGAACTTTTTGACAAAGCACCAGGCAGTGTGTGGCTCTGACTTACAAGCATCACTTCCACATCTAATCTCTACAACAACACAGAGCCAGTTTCAGACCCACAGTTTAAAATGCAGAGACTTTGAAAAGCCTTCAAGGTCCTCCTCATTGAGGTTCTGCAGGTGAACTGAGCCACCCTGGAGTCAAGATCTGTCCAACGTTTCCCTCTCTGCATATACACACAACACTGAACCATAAATAACTGCGTTTGGAAATGGGGGACGAGGGAAGATGATCCTGAAAATTCAGAACTTTTGGTTATTAACCTTAACTCTGCGCTGACCTTCAGCAAAACCATCAGCTACACATCACCCATCCTTCCCCACAGTGCTTTTAGCAAACCAAACCATCTTGGTAGCATTTGTGTACGCTCTCCCCTCTCTGGAAACCACTGCGTATCTTGTTGACACAGCGCTCTGCTCATGCAAACAGAGACAAAAGTATCTGTGGTTCGTGAACAGGCGGAGGGAGGTGTGACCAGCTGCTCCCCACGGCTCCTTGTTCATCGTGTGCCAATGCCAAGGGGCTCCTGCCCCGGGACTGGGACCCAACGGCTTGGGTCCATGGAGAGCACACACTGAAACGACTGTTCCTCCAGCTCCAGGGGGACTGCCAAGGAAGCTAACGCGGGCTACTGGCACCAACCTATTGTAATTCCCATCTGTGATGTGTATCCTACCCTGAGAAGGGCTTTCAGGGCGGCTGGCCAGTGGAGAAGCTGGAAGTATAGAGGTCGACAGCTCTTTCCAGCTCATCAGACATCAAGGCTGTCTCCATGTCCACATGCCAATTCCCTCTTCCACCCAACCAGGGAGACTGGAAGAAAGAAAGAAAATCCTCGAACTTATTATTTCCCAGGTGCAAGCCAGAGCTTTCCAGCCTCACTGGAGCTGTGGTGGACTCTGTTTTACTGACTGCCCTGTCAAGATTGCAATACCAAAGAACTACTGCTCAGTCATTTCTACCATTACACATATTTCAGTCTGCTCCTAATATGTACCATAAGAACCCAAGATGGTTCCACAAACAGGTTTGTTCCTGACACCATGATAGGGTTTTGAAGACAAACAAGGACATAAATGTTTGGGACTTACCAAAGTTGAGTAAAGCAGGGACCATAAAATTGATCTAACGTAAATGGTAGATGACCTTGATGCACCTAATTGGCCTCCTTAAGCTCTGCACAAGACTGAGCTGCTGTGCTTTTCAGACATGGCAGGCAATCCGAGTGTGAAACCCAATCTGCTTGACAGGGCTTGCCATCATTTATGGTCTAGTGACTGTCATCGTGCATAAATTTAACTGGAAACTTTTGGGGGAATTTCAGTAACGTATATCCCTCACCAGGCAGGTGCAATCAAACCATTCCTGTCAACAACTGCACATTTATGGGCTTGTTTTAAACCAAAGCATCTCAGATGAAAACTTTCCAGGGCGATGCCTGTCTTGCACTGGTCAATGCCATACTTGAGACACGTTCTGCATGAGGCTGAGTCTGCTACGTCCAGCTCAACCCAACGGCTGGGTTGAGCGCCATGAAGACCATCTGTCTGGAGGCAGGGCTCCGTGCTCGGCCTCGGCCGGTGCCAGCTCCTCCTCTGTACCCACAGCAGATGATCCCCCGCTGCCAAACCCAATAGCTCATCCCCTCCACTGCACAACTCGCTGCCCTGCCGCCGCTCCGTGCAGAGCCGCACAGCAGGCAGCCTGCACTGGGAACACTGGAGGCACTCCCAGTGCCAGGGGGTGGCTGGGCCCCAGCACCCTCGGTGTACATGAGATGGGACTCACTGAAGCCCATGGCCTGGGGAGGTTTCAAGTGGATTCTCTGTTGTGGAGCATTTGGCCAGCACCTTGGCACCAAGTCTGGATCTCTGCAACTTCCCCCTGTGCATGGGATGATGGGGCTGCAGCTACTGCAGAACACAGCAACACATCACCTGTGACTGCTGCAGTGCTGCTGCGGGGCACACGGCAGGGCTGCTGCAGGGCACACGGCAGGGCTAATGCTGCAGGGCACACGGCAGGGCTAATGCTGCAGGGCACACGGCTGCTGCTGCAGGGCACACGGCAGGGCTAATGCTG